CCCTCACGATTTAGCCTATATCTCTTGATCAATTCACAGTCTTCCATTGTCTCCAAAACATTTCGTCTCGCAGCCATTTTCAGATTCTTTGTGAATAGGTCTTACTGAGTTAGGAGTCCTCTCGAGGACTTTTAAGCTCTCCTAAACTTAGGTGCTACTTTTAGGCCTAAAATACTTTGTGAATTGCTCTTAGTGAATAAAATTAGGAGTCCTAAATTTAAGACTGACACGCCCATTATGTTTAGGAGTTTCTCCTAAATTTGCCAGTTAGGAGCTACTTTTAGCCCTAAGATCCTTTGTGAATACGGCCCATGGTCTTTAATGATCAAATGCTAAATGAGATTCCCATCAGATTCAGCTGTACTTTGTGTTTAGTGCTAATTAATCAGCCAACGTTACCGTGGTAAAACAAATTGTGAATATGGTAGGGCTGCTCAATTAATCGTATTTTAAATCGCGATTACGATTATGGCTTGCAACGATTACGAATCGTTTTTTTTTGGTTTTTCAGTTGAATTATACTTAAAGTTCAGGGTAATTAACTGTTAAAAACATACTGTTCACATTTTTTTTCTCCAATAAATGGATGTTTTCAAAGTCAATGAATAATCGCATTTAATAATCGCAATTACAATTATTGGCCCAAATAATAGAGATTATGATTTTTGCCATAATCGAGCAGCCCTAGAATATGGTAAACATTATTCCGTCTAAAAATGTTAGCATTTGCATCGGAGCATATGAGCATTCTGAATATAGCATTTACCAAAAAAGCACTGCTGTTCAATGACTTTAAGGTTTTCAGGTTATACATTTTAGGATTTCTATTAGTTATCTACATGATTATCTCAGGAGCTTAGAGAAACATATCAGCTTTTAGTGGAACTGCTTAAAATTCGCGTCTGAGTCTCAAATAGACACAAAAAGGTCACAAGGTTGATGCAAGTTAACAGTTAACAAAGTCCATGATATTTCCTCTAGTCCAAACCAATAAAACGTGTAAACAAATAGCTGGGAGGAGAGGAGCACAACAATTGAGTGGGCAAAACAAGGGAAAATCTACTGGTGTAAATCGTATATTTTTTAAATAACAAACATTCTCAGATGTCCTGACACGCACCATCGTGCGTTCATGCACCTGACTGCCATACAGTGCCCACGCCATGTCTAAACTCATGCCCTGTGTACACATCCTTACCCAAAGTCTGCACTGCACAAATGTAGGAGAATCACCTCCATCTGCACAACACATGCCCCTCTCAAAGAGAACAAGGCTTTGTTTGTCTTCTACCATTCTTTCACACTTTCAACTCTATCCAGCTTTTGTTCTCCGCTCTCTGTCGTCCTCCTTTCTTTGTTCTCTCTTTCTTTTTCTCCATCAGTTAGCAGTGGAATAGTTACTCATTGTTTTACAAGAGAGAAAAGAAGTGAGTAATTGATAGAGAAATTAAGTGTGGCTTTGGGAAAGTGGATATGAGGGACAGGATTCAAACTGTTATGCATTTACTGCTGCTGTGAATGATGTGCACTTTTCATTAGTTTTTACTGACTTCTACAGCTATAAAGTGAACAATAATCCTGGGTATTATATGTTCTCCTATTTACCAGAGTTCACTTTTTTGGCCTCCACAGTTTGACACTTCCTTCTGTTGTTTCGCAGTCCAAAGCCCTTTAGCACAATCCATCACTCCTGTTCCCCGATTCAGATTTAAGGAGGTATTTTAAAGTGGAGTGATGTATTTGTCGAGATTGAGCTCTATAGGTTCCAACGCCTTGTCATCGGCACCTACTCATGCTTCAGACCAGTAAAACCTTCAAATAAGCTAACACTATTGCTAGCATAGCGCCAGGATTTAACGCACTTCAAGGTCAATTGCTGCAATGCACACACATGTCGATAAATGACATGTTCTGAAACATGAAAGGTCTCTCTGATTTCTTTTTCTTTTTTTTATGTCGCTCCCACTTCTGCCCTGCCCCTTTTTTCTGCTTTCTTCCCAACACTCGCTAATGAATTTTTGGAGCGCTGCGCTCAGATCACAGGTTCCAAAACCATCCGCATGCTCTGCTCCTTCCAGCTTTGTTCTTATAAAGCTTTCATTAATTACAATGAGAGTTTCTCACGCATACATCAGACGAGGGGGAGAAAAAGGGAAAGAGAGACCTGCAGTGGTGAACTGTGTGTGGTGAGCAGAGTCAATGTTAGTTACTTTGAAAAGGCCTTGCTGTAAAAGAGCCCGTCTGTCAGAGTGAGTGGACCACTTCAGCATGAGAACACCCACTCTGACAGCCAGCGACACACACATACTGTATTCACACGTGAGCACACACACACACACACACACACACACACACACACACACACACACACACACACACACA